GTTGTATACGGTACATCCTTTGATTCTCCCATTAGGACATTTGTGTAACAAGGCCCTCTAGTCGCCCTTTTCCCCGTCCACTAGAAATTGTTGAAATAAATTAAATAAATTCATACCACCTCATTTGGCCAGCTAGTGAATAAAGCAAAATGACAATTTTTCATTATGTAAATTCATTCAAAAAAATATAATACTAATAATAATAATAGAATACCACACAGCCTGATACTATGATGTAAAACTGACCTGATTAGTAGAGCCTTCAAGTCTGAAGTTAGCTCCTTATTAAAAAGAATCGGATTGATACGGTAAGTTATAAAATCAGTATACCGCCCTCTATCTTGATTCCCTTATGGAAGATCTTGTAAGATCAGGGGGTTTTATCTGGTCTGTATCTTATACCTTTGCTACAAACGTAATGATGAAGCTCAATAGATTCTCCGCACATAACTTGGGCCTAATTGATGTTATGCTTTTCATGTATTATATTAATTCTTTGTCTAGTGGGTATTCTCTATGGTTCTTGTTGAATACAATATTTTACACATCTTGCGCCCTAATCACATATTATTATGACAACGGCAATTTTGTGCTTACCGCCCTCTATAACAGAATTCAAATTTCAGCAAGGTTCTAATTTGCTTTTTTTTTTCTTTTTTTTTTTTTTTTAGTCTTCTACATGCATTTTCACTGACTCTCTCTTTCGTTGTTGTGATCACTTCACAATTAAATGAATTAGTAACTTTGGTTTGTCGCAGAAGTCAATGGTTTCAATATTTAATAAAACGGCGTGGAACTCAATCTATTAGGCCTCTATAGGCAAATTCAATTCCTTTAGAACTGTCCTTTACTGAGCGCTAAAGAATTTAGATCAAATTTTTGGGACCACAACATTTTCAAAGAATATTTCTCCATGTGATTTAAGTGTAGGTCTAATCCCTCCGATTTTTTTTCCATACGTCCTGGTTTTAAATTCGTGTCACCACTTTATATATTCCTTCACGGTGACATACGATATTTTTACTGACAGAAAGTAGGACCGACAATAAAATCAATAAATAAAAGGTGACAATATATGATTTATTCACGATAGTGATACGACAATGTTTGATGCCGACGATGATAAATGCCAATAGCAATTATGACGACCATCGTGTGAAAGTGATTGTAAATTCCGATGTAACGGTAAAATTAGGACGCAGTAAAAACGGCCTTTACATCTTTATCGTTATAGGCTTCCTCCTACAATAGTAAAAGTTTCATAGGCCTATCAGAAATCGTCTTCAGTTACCATTATTGTAGATGATTCACCACAAAAATCCTTAAAATTAAAATATAACTGAATTGAAAAGACTGCATACATAGCCTAGGCCTATATAAGTTCAGTTTTCAAGCGCCTAGAACTAGACTATGTACAATTTCTCACTCGGATATAATCTTTAAAACAAAGGCTAAAAGTCGCCCGAGCGATTTTCCACTAGGCAAATTTATTCGCGCGAATCGAAAGCGTTGGTTCATGCGCATGCGCGTTCACATTCCTATCGGAGTTTTTGGGAAGCGACAAAATGCGCAACCAATCAGAGCTCAGGAAGCGAACCGACGCTTTGATTCGCGCGAATAAATTCGCCTAGTGTAAAACCAGCTTAAAGGCCTGTTTATAACTTCAACGATAACGATAAAAAAAAAAAAGCTAAAAAGCAATTGTTTATATAGAAAATGAAAGAAATAAGAGACGTTTTTACACTAGAACTATTCGATAACGATTTATCAGAAATGCGATAACAACATATTTTGACAAATCAAATCAGAAGACGTCATAATCATGGCAAAAGATGAAAATCGTCGTAGTAGCAACGATTTTATCGTTTGTCCACGATTATGACGCCATCTGATTTGATTTGTTAAAATATTTTGTTATTGCATACACGATAAATCGTTATAGAATCGTCCTAGTGTAAAAACTTCTCTTTTATTTCTTTTGTTTTCTATATGAACAATCGCTTTTTAGCATTTTTATCGTTATCGTTATCGTTGAAGTGTAAACAGGCCTTAAGAAAAGCAGTGGCGCCAGAAATTTACCGACGAGGAATCCGACGTGGACGAAGCCTCGGTCGACGGCCCGGGTCCCCTGTAGGGTTCGCGGGGAGAGTTTTTATGACTTATTTAATGTCCAAAATTTGCTTTTAGATCACAATAGGATTGGCAATCGAAATACCGTTATTTATTAATTAATTATTATCTTTTGAATTTTTTGATACCTAGTCGTTCGTTGGAAGACAGGGGGTCAAGGCCTGTCTGTGGGGGATGTCCTTAGCCCCGCTGGTGCCACCCACCACTTACTAAAACCCCACCCCTCATATCGCGTCCCATATCCCTCGCCTCAGGGCAATCCAACCAGTAATTTAGTCACATATAAAAAAAAAAAAAAAAAAAAAAAAAAAAAAAAAAAAGTGATTTCAAACATTAATTTCATACGAAATCATTAATTTTATTGTAATTTGGCCATAACAAATACAATAAAAATATTTTATAAAATATGAAGAAAACGAGAAAGCCCTAGATTAGGGCCTATTTATTTGTTCAATAAAATAGTTAAAAATGTAGAGAAAGAGTTTTTATGTTGATGATGAGTAGGCCTACTCTATAGGCATATTAAAACTGTATCTATTGTCTATTAATATTAAGTGAAAGCTAAAAAGTATCAACGATTTTAGCACGTGCTTTCCTACCATGCGTCGTCCTGTTTTTGTTTTAACATTATAACGCAATGTGCTCGAATAGACTGCTAACGTAGGCCTATATTGTAAACGATGTAGATCCGTACTCATACTCATAGCATATTCATAAATTAATTTAACCGTGCTGTACATCGTAAAACTATTTACACTCAAATCCATTCTGGTACGAAATACAATTCAATTGTTCGGTTTGTTGATATTCACAATCGTCAAACGGTTGGTTGCATTCTCGCAACCAGTGTAACGTTGAGCTTTACCGAACGAACATAGGAAGGAGGATTTATCATACGTTTTGGATTTAAGTGTACCCAAGAAGGCCTACGTCAGCCAAATTCATGTACTTAAAAAATAATAATATTAGGTTGTTGAAAAACCATTCAAATTTACATTAAAACGTAGGTAGGTCAATTATTGAGGCATTTCCGTCCGGTATTTGCGTGGAATCAGTTCAGTATCATGAGACCCCGGAAGCTAGCCGTGTAATCTTGGCCGCTGCGCGCTCTCTGTGTTTATCTGCTCTCAGAAACCAAAACACATTTTGGTAAGCTGCCACACGAGCAAGAACAAGTCAGGCCATTTGAAAAAGAAGCACATCAACGAAGACTTAGGTGTATTGTCTTCTTGGTACATAAGTGCTCTATCAAGATCTTGTTTATCGGTGTAAGTACTCGGAGGTAAATTTCGTGTTCTTGGTTAATGGAATGATGAACCAGCTGCTGGTAAAATAAAGCCAATTATATTGGTATTGCTTCCTGAATTCCTTCCTGCTTACTGGAGGAGGAGGAGAGGCGGGCTGATCTTGCAGTACCGAGTGAGAGAGAGGTGGGCTGGTCACAGGCCTAGCCTTTGTCCAAAGGCCTTCGACAACATGGACGAGCAGGCACTGTTTCGCCTGCTAGAGTGTTCAGTTTGTTTGGAACGTCTTGATGCCACAAGTAAAGTTCTACCATGCCAACATACTTTTTGCAGACGATGTTTGGAAGGGATAGTTAATTTACAGAACGAATTGAGGTGCCCGGAATGTAGGGACGTAGTACACTGTAGTGTTGCGGAATTGCCAACAAATATCTTGTTAGTTCGACTTTTGGATGGTATAGTTTCAAGTAACTCAAATCAGAGCACCGATAGAACTTTTGGGAGGTTGTCACCCATGACAACTAAAACCACTAATGAATCATCTCGAAACAGATCAACTTCAAAGGTAAGAAAATCTCATTTTGCATAAAATATTGTTCATTTCAATGATGATTATTGTTTCTGCTGTCACTGAAAAATATTACAGGCTAGGTGCGTTGTAACTAGAGGTACAACATGCGCCGTCATGACCAATAAAATTATTTTTTGAAGGCAGTGACTAGGAATACAGTACCGTATGCTATCTCGGTATGGTGAGTTTTCCTGGCAGTTGCCAACCCTAACCAATTCTTTATCGTTGCCAAGATAGACTGCAGTAGGCCCTATTGTACAGTATCTCTAAACACATCGTTTTTTGAAAACGTTATTGAACCACAGTGAAATTCACACAAAATGACATTCTCACCATAACAAGAAGATGCTGAACTATTATAATCGAACCAGTTTAAGCTACGTTCACGTCAAGTCTGGATCCGGTCAAGAGCCCGCACAAAAAATCGTGAGTTGTCAATGTTTTTTTAACGCTGCGTTCATATCACGCACGGTACACGGTTATTTCGGTCAAGTACGTGTGCGTTCAAACTAACCAAGCTTGTTGCTGATTGGTCTAACGGAAAAAAAAAACGTACGATTTCTCAATACAAATGGCTCTCAGATCCATTGCTCTGGATCTGGAATCGGGATTGGAAATCGTATGGATTTGATGCGAACGGTCCTGTTCTTTACGACTGAACCAATTTTCTCCACGATCCGGGCTTTGGTGTGAACGTTCCTTGATACTGGGACAGGGGCATAGACTGGTTCTGGTGTTTTGAGGTAAAAATTTAGCATGTAGAAACACCAATTCCAATGAAAATGGTCATTTTTAATATGTATCCCTCTTCCCCCCCCCCTCCTTTCCCCCCCAGTCAATGAGTAAAAAGCAATTTTTAGTTTCAATTCGTTCAAAAATATTGCATTGCATTGCACAAATTTTGAGTTAAAATTTGAGATATTTTAAACATTTTAATTTGTAGTATTCATATTATTACTTTATTTACTTAAATAACATTTTAATTTGTACAATATTCATATATTATAACTTTATTTTCTTAAACTACTTACTGTCAATTCATGCCTGCATTTGTGGATCGATTAACTCATATCAAATTGACATTTAAAATCTTGTTTGACATCATCATTTCTTCCATCCAAATCCATTGTTGTGATTTTGTAATATTTTGTAGTCCATTTCTGATTCTAGGTTTCCTTTAAAGGACTTGATTTAGCACTGTCAATATCGTTGATCAATCTTTTGTATTACTCTAATGACGTTCTATAGTTGCTAGGGTTACTCACATTCGTTTGTCACAAATTAATTGAAATGCAAGCCCAAGGCTCGCATTATTTTGCACCCATTACATTATGCAGACAGTTTACGGAGTTCACTGTACCCTGTGATTTGATGTTGATTTGCAAAATCGTGCCACAGTTGGTGTCTGTTCTTATTTGCTGAAATTCAAAATGAATTGTTACAGTGGGGACATATCTTGATAGTCATATCACATTTATTTGAACATTATATGACCTCAAGTGACTTTTAAATATGCGTATCAAGGTACGAGATAATCTGCTCATTTGCATATCAATAATTTACCCTACAGGAGCAATTCACACATCGTTTGCATACGGCACATCAAACTCTAATCAGTGTCGCATAATTCCTCGCGAGTGTTCGATGCACGCCACACACAGCTAACAACCAAATTTAGATATCCTACTGTGTTATTGATTATTTTTTGGAATGAAAACTTTGTCTGCTTTGAATTATTATGACAAAAGGGAGATTCTCGCTCAGGTTAGAGATACCTTCTGTTGTACAGTAAAATCTTACGGGAAAATTCTCAAAAAAATTTTGAATTACAATTTTAAAAGGATCAAATATGCCAAACTTACAGTAGCTCTGTCAAATTTTATGTGACAGAAACTGTGATGCCCATATTTGGGTGTGACACCATCATACCCATATAAGGGCACATCACATTATGTTGTGTGCACTAAGAAAGCTTAATCAATTTTCCTCTGGTGGACAGATATTAAAGAAAATTGTAAAATTAATTTCCTAAAATGATGGGAATGATTCAGTTTTCTTGAAACAAGGTCTTTGAAAGGTAACATAAGAACTGTGCCTACAGTTGGCCTACTGTACACATGGATTTAGGCATATCTGTATGAGTTACCTACTAGCTTAGGAGTTCAACCAGGCCTGCATGGCTAGACATTAGCTGTAATTGTTGTTTGAACATACAGTAACACAAAAACAAAACAAAAATATGTTGGAGTACTTTATGTCAGAAGGCAAAAATAGATACTTGATCAATGTTTAAGTCATCCCTTTGTTGTTTATGAATGACACAGGTCAAATGGTTCTGACCTTTGGTTACCATCAGGGGAGGTGTACAGAGCTGGAAGACCAGCAGGAGGGACTGTGATTACCTCAAGTAGTCAAGGCCGAATGCGTTGACATTTCCTCCCAAGTCTCCCAATGCTAGCTACATCCCTGCTAAGGTCAAGCAAACATAAGAATGTTGTGTAAACTCAAACGTCAGCCGTGAACTCAACATGACAATTTAGACTCATTTATGAGTTATATGATTTATATTGATAATAATATTGATGTGTACTGATCCAATCGGATCATGTTAATACTTAATTCAGTCATAATAATTAACATTAAGGATGATGTGTAAACTCAAACGTCAGCCTGTGAACTTAACATGACAATTTAGACCGATGTCATTTATGAATTATATGATTATATATTGATGATAATATTGATGTATACTGATCCAATCGGATCATGTTAATACTTAATTCAGTCATAATAATTAAGAATTAACAGACCCTATATAATTTCAAAACAAAATTTAATGACAAAAAGAATCGACATTTTGGTTCCATCATGGAACCATTTTCAAGATAAAATGATTTAAATAAACCAGTAAACAGGAACACCAAAAAGTGACGTAAAGTAATTAATACTGTGTAGAGCCAAACAATAATTTTGAGTGAATCAGTTTGTTTGTTATGTGATAGTTTCTCTTTCAAATCAAATTTGGTTATTGCACTTAATATAGATAGTACTGTATCATAAAATCATTTTACAGTGTCAGTAACAACACTATATGTGGCAAAGACAAGCCAAACCAGTCACTCGTCGCAAATCGTGTTTCAGAGAAAATGGCCAAAACATGATGCTGGAATGTCAAATTTAAAAAAATCTATTTTATTGCATTAAACTAACCTTTATATATCTACACATCATTCTATGCTGTTATTTTCCTCATTTTCAATGTTAAAACAATACTTTTTAAGGATTTAAAGATAGTTTCTGCTTGAGAAATGCCTGAAATCATAAACTTTGACGGTTAATTTCTCATATATTGTTCTTTAAACAGCTGTGTGGTTAAACGCTTGTAACTTCATAACGAAATGTCCGATTTTAATGATTTTTTTACCATTTTATAGCTATTATTTTACTCTCTAACATTAATAACAGTATTAATAACTCAAAATCGATTTTTGCGATGAGTGACTGGTTTGGCTTGTCTTTGCCACATATCATGACGTTTTTTAAAGGTTGCCTATGTTACCTTTATCAGGGTTGTAGCTATAGTAGAAAACTAAGGGAGGGTGGTATACATTTTAGGGTGGGTGGGTGATAACATGGGTAAACTCTTAATAATAAGAGTGCATTTTCAGGATGGGCAAGGAGGTTTTAAATAAAAAGGTGGCTGAAGTGCCCATTATTATTGATAAAGGTGTTGACAAGTAGGTGACATATCTTGCATCGCACAAACCACATTGAAATTTTACGACAATTAAACAAAATAAAATAGTAATATTTATGATGCACTACAACAAACCTGAATGATGATACTGTAATTTTGACTATGAATATAATAATGATATTAATAATGCAATTTGATTAATTATAAAATTTACAGGGACTATTTTAATGATATTATAATATATAATACTGATGAAGTACTGAAAAAATACACAATTTGTTAATGCTTATAATTAATAATAAATTTACTGAAAAATGATTCATTTTATAAATACAAAATTATATTAATCTCTATCAACAGAATACTCATAATTTTTTTTTATAAATAAGCATGATTATCATAATTTTGTGTATAATTAATTAATAATTAAATTTGATATTAATATTAATGTTAATTAATCATCCCAAACTAATCACAAAAGTTGATACATTAATTCAAATGTATGTTTTATTCATTTAAATTTGAATTAGCTCCAGGCTCTATGCTATTAATAGATACAATACCCATTAAAATATAAAACTTACGATTGTATAATTTGCTTCGTAATTTACACTTCGTTTGAATCCGAATGGCAGGGTTGTACTGTATTATTCACAGCCTATTAAAATAATTGAGTATATCAAACCCACATAAGTGTAATTACAAATATCGTGGGTACATCACACAGTTTCCTATTCAATATTACCTGTATGTTTGATATTTTGGGCATTTATTCTTTTAATATGATATTCTTCAGTGAATATTCTTCGATGATAAAAGAAATTAAAAAAATTGGGCATAATGTTTACAATATATTTCTGTCGATTACTGTCTTGCTAAATTGAAAGGTGGTCATTTAAAGGCTATGTAGGATAGTATGGTGTTCTGGGGCTTGTTTTTAATGTTTCGAGGTGTTCACTTTCTCGTGACTCGAAAAAGAATAAGGAAGTTGCATGGTGCCGGGGCCGCTTGAGCTTGGCGCCAGGAGTTGACTGTTATATTATTTTTCGAGGGGTGTTCTCATATGTGAAAAAGAATAGGCAATTTGTCGGTTTATCCAGGTAAGTAACCACTCATAGACTAACAACATCACCATTGATTTGTGTAGTTCATGTGCAATTTAAAATTTTAATGTACAGCAGGGCCATGGAGGAATTATTTCCTCCATGGTAGGGCCTAAGATATACCAGCACTTGTTGTACGTCAGTGGCAAAATAGTGTAGTTATAAATATTTTTCTTGAGGTGCCATGCAGTACA